AGATCAGAGAACAAGGCACACGTAATAAACTCTTCCAGCTTTGCAATTTCTGACAGATTTTATTAAATCCTGATCCTGCCTGCAATCCCCCAGAGCCTGATGCAAAACACTGTATTTTAATGCAAAGAATAAACACTTCTTTATAGGCGAGATTTTGTTCACTTATTTAACAGAAAGAGAACAGCAAACATGGAAATAGACTGTATACTGGAGCTAAAAAGTGAGGTAATGGTGCGAGAGTTAACAGAGGAGAGGGAAGAAGCTGTTAGACAAGCCCACTAACTTTCTTTTTTCCCATGGTACCTGGTAGTTTACCCATTTGTAGATTGATGTGCAAATAGCTTCTTTATACATCAAATTATGGTGTCAACATTTACGATACTATAGGCACTGTCAGTGGTTCTGTTTAAGACAATTTGCCTGTTTCCCACTGTTTATTACAATTTTTAAAATAAGCTTCAAAAGGAAACAGGTACTATCTTGGAGTCAATCATTGCTATTGTTTATTTCCCTTTTTCTAAACATGTGTCATTAGGCACTAATGCTTTTAGTCATATACTTACAACTGCTGCATTTCAAATGTTGTTTTACTGTTAAAAGGACAGCAGTTTCCATTTTAAAGCCATGATTGAGTCATTCTAAACCTCTTGAAAAGCCATACATCACACATCAGACTGATCCCAAAAAGACCATTAGGCATGAGCTGTCCTCCTCATACCAGTAAATCCACTGCAGTAAATTTAAAAGTTAATGGGATTACTCCTGTGAATAAAATAAACACACAGCACTGAGGCTATGCTCTGCTATCACAGAAAGCACACCAGGAACCATTCCAATTTACAAAATGAAGAACAGGTAACTCCTCAAAGCACCCTTATAAAGCATTGTGAGCAGACTGAAAGGTGTCCAAACTTACCTGTTCTGCATACACACGGATAGGCATGCTAGCAGTACTTAGTTCCTACATAATTACACAAAACGCAATTGCTGTGTGAATACATGATATACAAAGACAAGCTACCAGAAGCAAAGTAATGAGCAAAATGTTCAGCTCGTGTGTATTTTTACCTGAAGCATTAGTCTAATTGAAGTACATTGATATGAAAATTAGAATCATTTTCACACCTGCTTCTATTAAATATATGAAAAATAACTCCCTCAAAAAGACTTCATTCACTGATTAAAGATAAACATTGTGATGTTATACCTAAATATATACTTATCCAGTGTGCCACAACACCAAAATTATATGCCAGTATGAAACAACACACAAGTAACACACAGAACAGGTAGGCTCATTCCAGGCTCCAGAAAGAATAATCTGCAAATTAAAACCTTCCTTTATTTTTGCCTGCACCAGACCCACCCCTTTAATTGCAGTCATTTATTCATTCATTCAAAATAAAAACGATACATTAGGATAAAGGAAGCTTCAAAAAAGATTGGAAGAATTATCAGGAAGAGGAACAAATGCATAAGTTTGTAACTAAAGAATATCCTTCTGATCTTAAATACAGCACATTACGAAGACTCATTTTGTCTTTCGAGCCTTTGTCTATTTAGGTCAATGTCATTATTTCAAACTGTATTTCTTTTATTCTCTTAACAATATACTTAATTGTTATAGCACTGTCCCATCAGCACTTACTTCTACTGAAAAGCCCTAAAATGAAATATACGATGCATTTAATGACAATTACACAAATGTGTTGTGGAGTTACTTTGTTACAAGCAATCAGCTATAACTTACTCCACTATTTTAATAATTAGCCTGCATGACACTTTTTAAGGTCATCTGGGTGCCATCCAAATGAGATCTGCAAACAAATCCAAAGCCACAGGTGATGCATAACAAATTATGAACCTGTGAGGGGGTGTGTGCTGTGTGTCTTCATTCTATGTTTTATGTAAATAATTTATACAAACCACTTCCCAAACTCCAGTACCTACAATAGAAAGACTTAAAACACACACACTTTCAAACCAGAGGAGGTACAGGAAGCCCAGTCGCATACTGCAGGGCTCGCCTCTCACACCCTGTTATCATAGGGGATTCATTTTACAGCAATGATGCACTTCCTAAATAAGGGCACTTGGAAATAGTGTAATACTTATGCTATACTCTTTGGAACATTTTTTTTGGTGACTAATTCCTGCATTTGTAGAAGTAGTCAAAGGGAAGACGGAAATCTCTGGTTTTAATCAATGAACTCTGATAAAGAGTTGAAAACAAAGGCTAAACCATAATTGAAAATGCATGAAATATGTTTTGCTGTTAACATATAAACTGAGATATAAAAATTTGTTTTATTTCTCTGTTAGAGGAAAACCTGAAAAAAATATAAATCCATTTTCCTAACGTATATCCTTCTATCTATAACTGAAGTTACCTATGAAGGTGACCAGGCTTATGATACATGCTGGGCACTTGATAATTCCCCAGAAAAAAAATGGCAGGAGCTTCTGAAATTCAGCTGCCCTCGCAAAAAGCTATTTCCACACTAAAGAACCCAAGCACTGGGTTTTTTAGCACTGAATTTACCTTCTTTTCCCTCCTCCCAGAAATCCTTACCTAGATTTTTAAAGTCTTTTCCCCTAAGTGTCCCTCCGCTGGAGGGTAAAACAGAGAACCATGCACTGTGAATTGTTACCTGCATATATCTTATGCTACAAAGTCACTGTGTATTATGGTGAGATTTTGAAAAGTAAAATAATGTAATACAGGGTTAAAGAAAAAAGTAATTATGAGAACTTGTTATTCTTCATGCACCTACATATATGTTACACACCTACACAGAACAGCGTATTGGCTAGCTGTTTAACCATGGTGAGTAAGATGAGGGATAATAAAACACAAAACCCAGAAAAAACAATACCACTGATTTTTGAAGATATTATTAACAGGTCTAAGACGGCTACCTCCACCCAAGCAAAAGTAAAGTTCCTAACCAGCTGAATATGACAACTAACCCCAGGGGAGGATCTTTCTCATCAGAGCCCAGAAGCGGCCAAACTGAATTTTTCAAGCCCAAATTCATGACAAGTGTCAGTGGCATACAGCTAGGCAGGCAGACTTCAGCAGCTCAGGTTTCTCATGCATTAGACTTCACGTACTGCAGGGTGAGCCGTTCCCAGAGCAGAGCGATTCAGTAGTAATTGGCAAAAGAGACATGCTGTGAGAAGCACTTGTCAAATAATGCTTGTTTACAGATAAATCTGCTAACAGCAAAGGACAGTGATTATTGAATAAGTTCAGGTCCAGAGTCAGACCCCTCCTATCTGAAGTCTTTTAGTTTTGCATTTACTAAAGAAACAGAGTAACAGCAAGAAAAGTAGGGGGAGAGAGACCACAAAGCAAGCGCTCATGCTGCTCATCATTATTGTAATATTCTCCTGCAACCTCCCCATAAAGATGCCACTAACCCCCCTTGTTAGGCAGCTTCATTAATGCTTTCCAGTACTGTCTCCTATCGAGTAAATCCTATTCTAATGTTGCCTGGTCACGGACAGAGACACCTCCATGCTCAGCCAAAAGTCCCATTGACTCTCAGCACTATCCAGATTTTCCAAGAACTGGCAAAGATGACTGAGACAGGGCTTGGAGCATCTGCCGGTCTCTCAGCAGGTATCCAGAGTACACAGGACATAATCCCTTCCAGGAAGCAAGTAACAAGGGAAAGCCCTTCAGAAGCATCTACACCACCTCCCACGGGTGAAAACCTCCAAAATCTCATAGGAGCAGAAGGATTGGGCCCACCGTTATCTAACCAAGGCAAAGCCACTTCTACCGTCCCCTGAACCAATGCACTTCCTGAGCGTTGGATAACTTCACACATAGAGGAACTGTATTTTCCCCTTCCTCTGCACTTTTTTTGAAAGAAAACTGTGATTCACATTATTCTCGCTCTCCAAAACAAATTACAGCTAGCTGCTTACCTCAGGCCACACACTTGAAATTCTGGTATGGTTTTGCTATATCAGACCCTGCACACCTCCTCCCTCTAAAGGAGTTTCAGCAATAATTACGGTGCCTCAGCAAGCCAGCCTGCTACGAGCCGCCGGCATCCCCTTCAGATACTGAACTTCTCCATCCATTGCTTTCACACCACAGCTTGCCCACGGATCCAAAAATAATAACAAAAAAGCCCCAAGCAGTGCCCACATCAAGTAGAGAGGGGAAAAAACATAGTCCAGTTTTAAAGTCTGGAAGTACCCTGCCAGGCAAGGAGCCTGGGCATGGTCTTGGCTATTGGCTTCACAGAGATCAAACGTACCAAAAAAAAACCATCCCTAGCGGCCGCGCTCCGCTGCGTTGCGGGCTAAATACCGGCACCTCCGCTGATTCCTCTCCTTTTTATACATGTATTTCAAGGCACGAAGTAAGCGCACTGCGGCCAGCGCTTGCAGGGCTCCCCAGCGGCAGCCGCCACCGGCCCGGTCCCACCGAGCCCCGCTCCCGCTCCGCCGGCGCGCAGCACCGCAAACCCCCATGCCCGTGCGAGCTCCCCTGTGCGAAGCCCTGCGGTTACAGCCGTGCAGCCCGACCCGTGCAAAGCCCTGCAAAACCACCCGCACGAATGTACCTGTGCAACTCACCCTGCGCAAACCACTAGGAAGCCCGGCCATGCGAACCCACCCGTGCAAACGTCCCCATGCAGCGGCACCTATACAGCACTGCTGCGTCTCTTTCCACCCTCCCTCTCCCCAAAAAACCCAAACCACTGCAAAATCCGCCCATGTCAAGGAATCTGGGCATACACTGAGGCAGCGCTGCCGCTCCCACAAGCAGCCGCCACCCTTTCTCGGGACCCCCAACCCCATCGACCAGTATCGCCCCCTTCTCCCTGCGCGGAATCCGCCTCCCCGGGAGCAGAGCCCCCTTCACCTCCCCATGAATGTTCAGAAACCGAGTCACATAAGCCCGAACCAGCCCACCGCCGGACAGCCCCCCTTCTCTGTGAGCTCTGCCCCGACGGTCCGGCCGCCCCGTCCCCGCTCACCCTCGCTGCCGGGGCTGGCCAGCAGACTCCGGAGCACGGCGCACAGCAGCAGCGGCAGGAGGCACGTCCAACCGGGAGCCGGCGCTCCGGCGGTGCCAGACCAGCCGCCGGCTCCCCGCGGCCCCATCCCGCCTTCCCTCAGCACATGAGGCTGCGGCTCCCCCGCCGGCGCTGCCCGCTAGGGTCGGCTCGGGACGGGGCGAGCTGACAGCACAGCTCCTCTACGCTCCGCTCCCGTCCAGCGCCCGGCGCGACTGGGGAACCGGGAGGCGGGGATGGGGGAGGAGGCCCCGCGCCGCCGCGGAGACGCCCCCGACGGGGCGGACCTGCGGCAGCAGCCCCCGTCGTCGTTGTTTTCCTCGCCGTCCCCGCACGGGGAACGGCGCCCGCCGCGCTTCACGGAGCCCCGGGGCGCAGCGGGAACCACACCTGGAATGCGGCATCTCAGCCTAGACCCGCGCTGCGCGTCCGGGACAGCGGGCAGTAGCGCTGTCCCTGCGTGGCGTCCCTCGGGCTCCAGGGAGCCCGCCGAAGGGAATCGGGGAGCCCCGATGCTCCTCGCAACAGCCAGCGGTTACGGTCCCAAAAGCTTAGCCGCCATCCCCTGTCAGCCCACAGAGACGGGGAAGCCGCGATTTCACAGAGTGGGCAAACGTGAGCAGAAGGCTCGTCCGCGGCCAGGAAAGGAAAAATGACAGAAACTCCATAATGGAGCCAATAGAAGGATGATTTTCCGGTGTGTTTTAACCTCAGGTCACCATCAGGGCACAGCTCTGAGCCCAGCACAGACAATTAGTTTCATAGAAGTTTTCACTGAGGTTTTTCATCCCTCAGAGCCCTACTTGTCACTCACTTCATCTTCATTTAAAAACAAAAAGCCAACAACCCAAAAGCATGAGGAATTAATTCCTGGAGGTTTATTCACCCACATCAGTTCCTCCCCTGAGAAGACTACTTCCAGAGAAGCCAATGAAGACAAAAATCCAGTATTGCAGGTGCACAAGCAGCAAATCAAGGTTGACCAAAACCCTGCTCACCCACTGCTGCCTCCTCCATTTCACCCCACTGCCAAAATTTTGGCCAGTTTATTTATCTTATAAAAGCAGTAACCAAAGGTTGAGCACCTGCAAAAGCTCTCTTTCAAGGGGGCAAGGCTGAGGACCAGGGCTCCAAAGAAGCTGAAATTAAAATTACAATACCCCCAAAGCCAGTTTGAAGAGAACAAATCTTCCAGGAACCGAGGCTAACACATCTCTCTACACTGCCAAAGCTCATTTTTTATTCATGAGTAGCTGGACAATGTGTTTCTCTGCGTCCTTGCATCACATACAAGCCTCAGCTGCTGCCAAAATGTTAACGTAGTCCTGAGCTGTACATGCATATTATTTTCAAAAGCGTTTACTCATTTTGCAAGAGAATTTTCTGCCTTAAGCTGTTCAACATTTTTACTGCCACCAGGAGGACGAGGAAGGGGCTTTGCTTTACAACATGAGGTACATCAGTAATTACCAGCCAAATGAGAAGCATGGCATGCATCTGTTTAAAGCAGTGCATCAGACCTTCACTATACATATCTCTTACTGGTCTGTAGTTCAAAAGACACTAAGGTTTGCCATCAGACCACCCGTGCATAAAGCTGCATGGCCAGATCCTCAGGTGGGATAAATCACAACTGAGAACTGTTTTTTTTTGTGAGCTGATCCCAGCCCTGCATCAGATTCAGGACGGGAGCAGCACCATGTGGTATACTCATTTCTAGGGATTTACCATCTGTAAAAGCAGTGCTAAGTTTTGCCACCCAGAAATCAGGGCAATGCAGGAAAACATCACCAGAAACAGTGCCTTGCTAGCATAGTAAAAAGGATCAGATGGCAAAAAACAAGCAAAATGCCAAGCTGGACAGGCCTCTCCACTGGCCAAGGGGCAAGACTGCTGTAGCTAGACAAGTCTTTTATCACAATCTCTTGTCAAACTGTTGTTTGCTCCTGATTTTCAGCTGGTATTTGACAGTCATTAACTGCTGTTTAGACTGCCAGGCTTATAATTTAGAAGCATTTCAGATAATGTGTTAGTGACATTTTAATTTTCTAGGAAACACTGAGGTGATCTTCATATGGTTCATAGCTATTTAAAAATAGCCGCAGTGCTCTAGGTTTCATCCTAGCTGCCTTTTTTTCCTTGCAGGAAACCAGCTCTTATTCCAAGACATTTGATTTGTTCTCCATCCTGGCTGTGGCACAGGAAAAGTGTCCCTACCTCATCTCCCAGGATATTATTGAGTTCTGATAAACTAAATACAGCCTTATTCTTATAAGGGTTATTCTCTTATCCCCAAATGCAGAGTATTGCAACTTCATGCATTGTCTGCTGGATCCTACTTGGTGGGGGCTCAGTCTTCTACAACTCTACTAATAAGAGCAAAACCAGGAGGAATCTGCAACAGGCAATTTTCTCCTGCCTTTTGCCTTATCAGTGCGCGCAGTGGGCTCTTAAAGAGAGGACAGAAATTTTAGTAAAGTGCTGCAGCATTCCTGATAGCCTTGATGGGTAATCAGAGAGAACCTGGATGATCTCTGCTGGGATCTCTTCCTATCTCCCACCAAAGAGTATCTCTTTTATCACTTCGATTAAATTCACTGTAAAAATCACAAGGTGTGGGTCACAAACTATTCAGAAATCTAAGCCATCTCGGGCTCATGCCATTTGTCCCTATATCCAGCCAATATTTTATGTTAGTATCAAATTTTTCTTCCTGCATCCCATTAATATATTTCTGCCCCTTACATTCATGCATTTTCACCTATGCAAACAGTATTACCTCTTAATCATGACTCAGATAAGGTCTGAATTTTGTTCTTTGTATCTTTTTCTCATGAGTCATTCCTATAGAGCATTAGTAATACTGTTATTATCCAAACTCCCCCAGGTTTTCCCAACATCTTCCTCATAACAGTTTGCCCAGAAGTGTAATCATACTAAAGCCATTATAAACAACTATCTCTAAAATGCTTTTGCATATAGTGTCTGAAGCTGAAATGACATCTGTGCCTAGTGTAATTTGCCACTTCATATCTAATTTGCTGTCAGCTATTCCACATCTTTTATATATATTTTTTATTATTATTTTGGTTATTTATTAAACCAGACATCTTTTGAGTTAGTGCATTTCAGGTTATTTCACTTAGATATGCAAAAGTTCATTTTCCCAAATTTATATATTTTCTCTCCCATGTATATAGTTCCTTCATCTAATTTCTGTGTTCTAACTGGCTTCTAATTCTGCATTGCAATTCATTTTGTTAGCATGCTGTTTATCCTATCATCGACAGGATACACTTGAACAATAAATGAGTCTATCCTTCAGATTATTTCAGGAACCAGAAATTGCCAACCAAATCCATTCCCTGTATCATTATCCTTTACTGAAGTGTAAGGGCATAATACTTATGTATCTCCGCATTCAATAGGGCCACCATCTGAGAAAAGATTCAATTTCATACTTTAAATCTAAGGGTAAACAGTCCAACTAAAGCTGTCTTCATTGCATTAATGGAATGGAAGTCCCACTGTAATACAAAAAAAAAAGTGTTTAATTAGTTAGGCATATAGGCATTTCCATTCTCCTTTGAAAAGTACTTTCAAAAGAGGCAGAGAAGATGGCACCTTTAAGGAATACCCTCTTTAAATTTATTAATTTGTGGTTTGTTTTTTTTTTTTCCCACAAACCCCTTTGAAACTGAAGAGTTACCTCCTATTCAAAAACCAAATGCATATTAAAAGCAGAAGCAACATGGGATGAGCTAAGCAGCTTTGCATTATAGATATATTTGGATATGTACCATGAACACAACTGCAATTTTAACACAAAATGGCTGTGTTCAATAAACACAACAGCAGCCTGTGGAGGACTGCAGAAAGCAATAACCAGAGCTCCAGAGGACAACAGCAAAATGTACCAAAAGCCAGTGGGAAGTTAAACAGTAAGTGCAGGTGGGCCACCCCTTGGCCAGACGAGGTATACCAGAGACTATGCCCCTCGGCCACTGCTGAAATCTTCATGCTTCGGAGTGGAGGAAGATGTTAACAAATAAACCGATATTTGCATGAATAAAACGAGCAAGTGATAAAAAAATCATTGCTTGTGCTAGTTCACAACCCAGCCTCTTGTATGGTCTCAGCGCTGATTTGCCTTTTGCCACCCCCACAAAACACAGGATCTACTGGCAGCTGTGCATTTAGGAAAATCTGCTCACTTCATTTACAGCCTGAAATTAGATCCAAAGCCATAAAAATCCATGAGAAAAACACGTGAATATTGGTTTCAGTCAGAAAAGGCTTAGAGAAAGCATGACATTTCAGCTTGGCATTTCATTTTGGAGCACTTCATCAGTAGCCCTTGTCCCTGAACAGCCCTTCCAAAGGCCCCTGACCTGGCAGCACACTCTCCCATTTGCAAATGCGGTGTCACTACTCCTCTCTTTCTCTCACTGCCCCATAGTGATCCCATGGAGCCAGATCCCAGATGATAAAACCTCACTGTCCACCTGCAAGCAAAGGAATGGTGCCTGGCCCAGGAGCTCAATGTATATCTCTTCATGTGCCAGCCTGGGTTAGACTGATCAGCAAAGGCATCCAGATCAGTCACAGTCACATTTGTGAGCACCAATAGCAGCAGCAGATACAGCTGGCAGTACCTGCAGACCACCCACTGCTTAGCAAACATTGAGGTGTTTCTTTGCATCACAGCAGAGGAGAGCAATAAATGAAACAAACGGAATGGCTTTGCAGAGATTTATGGATATTTTTTCTAATGCAGAAAGCGGAGCATGGGAGAAAGTGCAAAGGCTAATTTGATTACATTGTTAGTCTGTATAAATTTAATAATGGACTCACTTCAACATTTCTCATCATAAGCTATTTACTTGCATCCACTAACAGCAATAGTTCAGCACCTCAGGCTCTTGAATCAGTCTTCCCAACCCACCCCTGTGAGGAAGAAGAGTTACAACTCCTGCACAGATAGACACAAAGATGTTAAAGATCCAGATAAAAATTACCAAATTTATTATGGCTCCTCTAGATCGGGGTAATGTTCTTAAAATACTAATGAAATTATCTTATTCTTGTATCAGAAAAAGAATCAGCAGATGTTAAGAGGAACTAGCTTATTTGCTGAAGACATTCAGTTGTGAGCTTTACCTGCATAAGCTTGGGCAAGTGACTTGGGTACATTTGCAAGTACTACTAGAATGCTTATGGAAACCTAGTCCTTGAGTAACTTGCTTGAG